TCCCATAATGCACCGCGCGAGACCCTCGTGACGGCACAACTGACGTCACGAGTGACGTCATGGGGGTCCCACGCGGTGCATTATGGTACATTTCCCCTAATGCACCGCGTGGTTGCGTCGACGGCGACGGCGACGGCGATGCTACTCAAGCCGAAAACGGGCGCCTAAGAGCTGCTCTCTAAAACAACTTGACGAGCCCCAAGCCACCTAAGCCAGCAGTCGTGCAGGGTGTCGAACCGGAACCGAACCGAACCGAAAACCGGAACCGAACCGTTATTTTTAGCCGAACCGGAACTGAACCGAACCGAAATCTTCGCCGCCATCTTGGAACTGAACCGGAACCGAACCGAAAAAAAAATATAACGGTAACCGGTTCAAAACGGTTCAAGGTAATTTTGTTTTCTAGTATCACAAAGTGAACATGTGAGAATAAAAAACTGGCGGCTGTATTTCTATCTATCGATCAAATCGTCATATACAGAATTGCAATGTATGGTAAACTATGGGTTTTCATGGCGCTTTTGTATTGGCACTATGATTAAGCATGTGTCAGGTTGTCACGTGACCTCGTGACGTCACGTGACTCACCGCGTCAACTCGATTTAGTTCGAGGAAGTCACTAGATGTATTAATTTTGTTGACAGCATGATGTAACATGACATCACAATTGTGTACCGAGAGTCAAGTGACACCGTGACGTAAACAATTTTTACAACCTTTAGTCGAGTGCTCGGGTTCTTGACAATCAGCATCGCCAAAAATTCGGGTAACGGCTCATGTCAATTAAATATAATAGCCCAACTCTAACAATATCTGAAGCTCAGCCTAAGCTTTTGCTTTCCAAACCCTAGCCGCCTAGGGCATGACTATGATGAATACTGACGGCATAAAATTAACGTCAGATCACGTGGCCGCTTGTTCAAATCGCGAGTTGAGGAGGGGATCGACAGCCGTCTCTTTCCTTTATTTTTTCTGCATCTGCTATGGCGCGGAGGGGGAAACTAATGGATGTTTTCGCAAGCTATCAGCGTCAGGGTTTACTTCTTAACAGTATTTATCTAAAGTACAAAAAAAAATGTTTCCAGACCAATTTTACATCATTGAGGCACCCAAACATTTTTTCGTTGTTGCTGAACGGCATCTGAAAGATGTCCCGAGAATAGAAGTATTGAAATGACTAAATTCGACTTATTAATATGACGTTACATAGAGCTACACATGTGTACGGAAGGAATACCTAAAAAAAAAATAAGAGAAACAATTTAATGACCTCAGAGGGACAGCAGAACGTTGGCAGTCTCTGTAAGTCTCACACAAGCTTCGTTCTCAAGGTATTGCCCGAGTTTCGACCCCCTCTGTATTTTGCTTAAAAAAGCTATAAAAATATTTCCATGCAAGACTAAATACTATTCAGGATCACCCCATAACGTTAATAACTGCTTGAACTTGGATTTGCTCTTTTTTCTAGGCAATGGCAGTCGCCCAGAAAATTAGAAAAATTTGAGCATCGTTCGTCTCCTCAACTCGGAGCCAGAAGCGGCCACGTGGCCTGGTGCCTATCTTATGCCGCCAACGTTAATCATACCCCCGCGCTGGAATTTTAAAGGAAGAAAACGCGTGCTCAGCTCCAGGCATTGTTAGAGTTCGGCTATTCTCATCACCGCAGTGGTTGGACACGAGCCACTACCCTAGTGTCCGCCGAGGCATTGATTGTTACGAGCCGCGGTGCTTACTCAGCTCTCGCGTCCAATGCATGAGCCGCGCTCGACTGTGGTTAGGAGCATGGTTTTGATCCCACAATTACGACATCAATCTTTGCGAAGGCAAGATTAAAAGAAGTAGTCTCATTTTATCCTCGCAATTTCACCGCGACAAAAAAGCGTCTGAATCAGTGGCGGTCTGTGCGAGTATACTTGGGCCAGACCAGGACCAGTACGCCTCGGAAACGTCATGAACATTCCAACCCGATATCATTTTAGGACCCCTTTAAACTTTACGCGGTGTAAAATAAAAGCAATGAAGGGTTGCTGTTAACAAGTGGCAAATAAAATTGTCTAATTAGCACACACTAACGGAGGAGGCAATTCCTCAGGAATACGTTCAGCCTTTCCAGTCTGGTGAAGAAGGAAGACCAGCGAAGCTGTACTATGCATGGTGGGAATGAAGTAGCGGCCGGCCACAAGTGGGCAAGCAAGAGTGGAAAGGCTCAAGAGGTTGCCGCCATCTATGCGCGACAGCGGCAACCAGCCAACCGGCCAGCCGATTGTCTGGTTGTCGTCGTCACTTATAGAGGGCGGTAGCTGTCCAGAGTTTAGTGTCATCATTTGTTTGCTGACGGACACGATACTGTGAAAGTTAGCCCTTAACAGCTCCGCTGTAAAAAGAAGTGTGCGTGTGTGCGTGTGTGTGTGGGGGGGGAGGGGTGGGGTAGCTTTAAAAACATACTGTGATGTAAAGGTTCCTCTTCCCCGTATCTTTGCACTCTAAAAAAAGTTTGTGCGTCTGCTTTCACGCGCAACACTCGGAGAACCAATCAACGCAACTTTCGGAGGCAGCTCAGCAAATGACGATGGCAAAACATATGTTTAGACCAAAAAACGCAGTCTGAGTTGTGACATTAAGCAATGCAAAACGTCACGCTTGCATTGCTGAATGTCGCAACTCAGACTGCGTTTTTTGGTCTAAACATATGTTTCGGCATTGCCATCCGCTGAGCTGCCTCCGTAAGTTGCGTTGATTGGCTCTCCGAGTGTTGTGCGGGAAAGCAGACTCACGGGCTTTTTTTAGAGTGCGCAGACCAAAAAGCGTTACCCCGGAAACTACTTTGTTTGCAAAAACGCTCTTGCCAAAAAACACGTTTTTGTCGTGCCAGACGCTTGCGCCGTTCCTCACGACGATGCACTAAAATAATAATACGTGCATTTCAATTGTTGGATTTCACTGAGCTTGAACCTCCTGCACCATCGAATTCGATTTTCTCAGCAAGAAGAAATCACAATGACCACCAGTCTATAGTGGGATGACGTCAGGTGCATACCATGTTAAACAGTTCAGTTTTCTGGATATTCGCAACACTAGCACTGCATGTCCTAATTGTAAAGTTGTGCAGTATTTATAGCAGTCTCGCGATGATATATGGGAGCCTAGAGAAATGTTAGAGAGCATGACTATTAAAGCATAGTGTTGTAAAGTGAGGGCCCTAAAAACAATCGTAGGTGAAACCGAATATAACATTAGCCTCCCGATGCAGTATTTAGCGAAGTTTCGAGCTGACGAAATGTGATTTACACTAGGATTTTAGGAATCTTCGCCTGTCCTTCACGCTATTTATGTAAAATTATGAATTCTATTGCGTGCATCTTTACGCATCTCTTTTTGCAGGAAGACGTTCTGAAAGGGATTATTTAGAAAAATAACATTAATTATCTCTCTCTTTTTGAACATTTCGTGCATTTGAGTTCCAATCTATCATGTGAGTAGAGTTCTTTTTTGGCGTACTCTGCAACCCGATGTTTCACACTGCCAATCAGCCAAACAGAAAAACAGTTTTACGCAGACTCGACAGCTCGCGTATTTTCGAGTATATGGTCCTTCCGCGTCGGTCTTAAGCGGTTATGTGAACTTTGTAAAGTAAAATTTATTGATCATTATAAAAATATATTTCATTATACTAATTGATTATTTCACAACATAAATAAAGGGCCGACCACCCTAAAGCAATGCCCCCCCCCCCCCCCCCCCCAAATTATCTGAAAGCTGTTCTGCCAATCTTTTCCGGCGTTCTTATCCTCGACAGGCACATTGTAAGTGATAAGGGACGGCCTTACACACATTTCGTATTTTGAAGCTAACTTAAATAACTGTGTTCCTCACACATATAACTTCCTAAACATATAGAAGTCTGTTATTGCCTCTTTTAAGTATTGAACATTACTTTTATGTGCCATGGGGCTGGACAAAAACAAAGTAAACAGGGGCACGCGGCGGAACTATGACGATTACGCACGCAAACCGTCAGAAAGTGTCCAATTAAGTAGCTGCCATGTCGAGCAGAACGTGAAATACTACTTCGCTTTACTAACAAAAAAGAAACTTCGAGGACGCTTAAGCTTCGCCTTCAAAAGAGGAACGCGATAGCCTTAACGGGCCTCGCTTTCATCGCATTCTCATCGCCGCGCAAGCTTGCCTCGTGCGGCCTAATCTACCCGGTAAAAACATGCATGAAAGACTTCTTCATAAAATTTCATACAGAAGTGTTGCCTGTTAAGACGTGGCTCGAGAACAAAGGGTTTCTTTTGGCGGAGTCTGCCAATTGTGCTTTATGTCCTTTCCAGGAAACTTTTCACCATGTATCATGGTGCAAAGTCATGTTCAGGTACCAAATAATTTTATTATTTGGTACTTGAAAAACAAAAGTAAATTGCACGGACGATCGAACAAACTATATAGTTAATCGTTTCACGGCGTAAATATTGTATATTGCCAGAACAACGCGGAAAATATATTCTCAATTTAGCGGTTCAAACCGGTTCGAACCGGTTCGAACCGGTTTGAACCGTTATTTTTTGCTCTCGAAACTGAACCGTAACCGAACCGAAAGCTGTGAACCCGAACCGGAACCGAACCGATAAAAATTTCGGTTCGACACTCTGGTCGTGATGCAGCCACGAAGACATATTACGCAGAAGTAAAAGATGGCATGTGCAATACAGAAATGAAACAAATCACAAAAGAGAATTAACTCTATAGAAAAGAAGTGGGGTATTAATGCAATTTACACAATAGTGAAACCAAATAGAGAAAGTTAGAATCTCACTGAAATAAACGCGAAAGAAAACGTCTAATCAACACTATTTAGCGCCTATCAAGAACTATTTAGTTTAAAATAAACATTTCACAGTACGCCTCAAAAATAAAGCCCACTTTGAAATTAAAAACAAAAATCGAAGAAAATGCCGAGGGAGCGTTTCCTATCACTATTGCTATGTGACGTAGCCCCCACTCCTGCATTTGTTTTTTGTTTTTCCCGAGAGATGATTGATTACCTGTGAGGCCACCGAGCAGGTAGGTTCTGCGCTCACGTAGATGGAGTCACTGACGATGTGACCGTCGATTCGAGCGAAGGTGACCACCCGAAAGCTGGGAGTCATTTCCGTAGTGACGACAAACTTCAAGCCCCGCTCGATGATCTGGCCTTCCTCCAGCACCTCCGCCTTCAGGATCCGGCCCCTGGACAGCACCTGCCAGACATTCCGGAGATCGCTGCTCGAACAGTGGGCTCCGAAGCTCCCGTGAAGGGTGGGTCACGTACGTCCCTTGAGAGTCTTAGTAGATCTTTCGATACCTCCAATACCCTCGATAACGAAACGATGCGCATGCAAAGGCGGTGGTGGAGGACCGGATATTGTTATCGGAGACACAGGAACAATCTAAAAAGGCCACTTTCTCGTGGAACACACAGCCGATCAAGAGTGAAACACGGACGGCGCAATGCCACATATCTGGAAACATAGCTCATGGGTTCCATAACTCCCAGGGGGAACTGGTCGCCTATTGTGCTCCGCGGGAGAGGATGCATGAACCGTAAACATCTCACTTCAAAAGTCTATGCATTTGATTATACGCGGTCTTCCACGGAACGATGGCCAAATCGTTCCTGTGGAGGGGGCCCATCGTGAGGTAAAAACTTCGTGTCATATATTTGTAAGCTAGAGGAACTGCGTTGTTAAATTAATAGCGGTTGGTATAACTTTCTTTCATACATTTTATTAATTAACAATAGTTTAAGTCACGCGCAGCAGTTTTGCGTTGTTAAAAAATCACTCAATTTGGGCGCGTTGTAAAGTTTATGTTTTCTTTCAAAAGGGATCTTCCAGCCCGCGATCCTGCCCTCCGTGGTCAAAGCGCGCAACCAACGTACGACGCAACGCACTTTTTGCGCGACTGAATCAAAACATATTCTTTCAATTTAATTCCAGAATGCCATCGCATGAATCAAAGGTTATTCTTTCAATGTCAGTCAAACAGCACGGTGTTTTATTTCCCCGGCTTGCACGGTGCCTCTTTTTGCTCCTGAGTGTGAGGCAAGGCGGTTGTTCCACTCCTTGGCCACGGAGAGCAAGACCGCTTGCAGGGATATGTGAATAAGGGTGGCGATGCGGGTCGGTTGGTTCATACTGACGAAAAGGCAAACAGCGCATAGTAAACGGGGACTAAAGGAAGTGAAAACAGGACAATCACTGACTCTCAGCGGAAATTTAATCGCATGAAAACAAAACAAAGAAAACAGCAACCCCGCCCACGTCACATTATACATTCACCACGTGTCCAAAAAAAAAACAATCTCTTTGCTACTCAAGCCCAGTGACGTTTGGCTTGCGAAGGGGGGATCGGTGGCCGAGGGGGCTAAAGCACACACCCAGCTCGACGCGCGTGGAGCGAAAGGTCGCGCTGCAGAACCCAGGGATCCTGGGTTCGAGCCTCACCCCTGCCCGTTTCGATCTGGATGAGCATCGTACGGTGTGTGGTTGTGTGTCACCACTGCGTGGTGCACGTTAAAGACCCCAGGCTAGCGGTCGTACTGCACTGGCTAAATTGCTCATCTACAGCGTGTGACTCGTCGTAACTTTAATGCCTGACCAACTACACGCTGTATAAATATTCCCCTAACCCAATTTGCTTTGCTTTGGCTTACGCAGTTCGCGCCTGCCTTGATAATCGCATGCTCCTCTAAAATTTCTCTATTCACTCTGTCCCTTCCATTTCCAATGATACCAGTCTTACTGAAGATAGGTTTTCACCAACATCCATGACAATGCAATGACAGATGCCCCCTACAGCTCCCACCACTGATCGCAACGACAAGTCATGCTCCCGCAGTCTGTGATTAACCCGTCTGCCCGTCTGACCGACGTAGGCTTTCCCACACGTTAGTGGAATCGTGTAAACAACTCCCACCTTGCAAACAACATATTGATTCTCATGCTTCACCGAGCAAGCGGGGCCTTTGTCCTTCTCATCGGCAACCCTCGTGCATAGTTGCGCCAGCTTACACGAAGCGGAAAACACTAATGGCACGTCGTACCTCAAGGCTACTTTTTTCAAGTTGTGTGAAATTTTATGGAGATACGGTATCACGAGCGGTCTCTTATTTGGCCTTTCCCTCCGGGGACGGGGTTCCCCCCTTGAGTTTCTTTAACAAACCCTCCGCAACGCTCAATAAAACCGAAGTTGGAAAACCTGCCACTGTCAGTCTCTCAACCTGCCGGGAAAAACTATCGTTAACCACATGATGAAATGACTTCTCGAGTGCAGCTTGTAGGCAAGACGAGGCAATGCTTCTCTTGACCAGCTTAGAGTGCGATGAATCATATGGAAGAAGACCCTTCCTTGAGCGTGGGTGATAGCACCAGCAAACGTGTTTAGCAATGAATTCTAATCTCAAGTCCAAAGATTGTAGGTAAGCCTCATCCTGAAGTTCGTGTGTGAAAGTGAGTTCCTCCGAATGACGTGTGAAAACTTCTAAAACAGACCACACGGCATCTGCCTCGCATATACCCTCCAACCTAATAAACAAAACCAAAAAGTCATCCAAGTAACGAAACACTTTACAAACGCGCTCGTCATCCAGTGTTTAAGAAATGGCCCTATCGCACTTGGCTGAGAAAATATCACGGAGCACAGGCGCCACAGACGAACCGATACAAATTCCTTTTTTCTGAACATAAAGCTTACCGTTAAATAGGATAAAAGTTGGCTCCAGATAAAACTTGAGAAGCTCTAAAAACCCATCAGTACACACACCGCTAGCGTTCTGGAAGCCCATCTTGCCATTTCTTTCAATACATTGTGGGTCGCCTATAAATATCGCCCGATCAGGCCGAGTTCCATTCGCCCCAAGGAAGTCACACGAGGGAGCGCTATCATTAAGCAAGGTTTAATTGATACTCCTGGTACTCGGTGTTGTCCGGGTCTTTCCTGGGCTCGCCGAGGCCCGGGTGCTTGCTTGGCTCGTGAGGTCCGGCTCTTTGTGGGCTCCTCAGCGCTGTCTGTTCTGTTGGCCCAGCGTCCTTCAAACCCCAGCCCACGCACCGACCACGAGCCTCTCCTTTCTTTTTCTTCCCCGCTCTCGGCGCCGCCCTTCCGCGTGCCGTGAGGCTCACTGTTCCCCTCAACATTCACGTACCGAGACAAACAGAGCGCAATGGGGAATGGAATAAAAAATATCCTCAGCATCTTATTCCATCACTCATTGCGCTCTGTTTGTCTCGGTACGTGAATGTATTGAAAGAAATGGCGAGATGGGCTTCCAGAACGCTAGCGGTGTGTGTACTGATGGGTTTTTAGAGCTTCTCAAGTTTTATCTGGATTCAAATTTTAACCTATTTAACGGTAAGCTTTATGTTCAGAAAAAAGGAATTGGTATCGGTTCGTCTGTGGCGCCTGTGCTCTGTGATATTTTCTTAGCCAATTGCGATTAGCCATTTCTGAAAAACTGGACGACGAGCGCGTTAGTAAAGTGTTTCGTTACGTGGATGACTTTTTGGTTTTGTTTATTAGGTTGGAGGGTATATGCGAGGCAGATGCCATGTGGTCTGTTTTAGAAGTTTTCACACATCATTCGGAGGGGCTCACTTTCACTCACGAACTTCAGGATGGGGCTTTCCTACAATTTTTGGATTTGAGATTAAAATTCATTGCTAAACACGTTTGCTGGTCGTATCACCCACGCTCAAAGAACGGTCTTCTTCCATATGATTGATCGCACTCTGAGCTGGTCAAGGGAAGCATTGCCTCGTCGTGCCTACAAGCTGCACTCGAGAAGTCATTTCATCATGTGGTTAACGATAGTTTTTCCCGGCAGGTTGAGAGACTGACAGTGGCAGGTTTGCCAACTTCGGTTTTTATTGAGCGTTGCGGAGGGTTCGTTAAAGAAACTCAAGGGGGGAACCCCGTCCCCGGGGGAAAGGCCAAATAAGAGACCGCTCGTGATACCGTATCTCCATAAAATTTCACACAACTTGAAAAAAGTAGCCTTAAGGTACGATGTGCCATTGGTGTTTTCCGCTCCGTGTAAGCTGGCGCAACTATGCGCGAGGGTCGCCGATGAGAAGGACAAAGGCCCCGCTTGCTCGGTGAAGCATGAGAATCAATATGTTGTTTGCAAGGTGGGAGTTGTGTAGACGATTCCACTAACATGTGGGAAAGCCCACGTCGGTCGGGCGGGCAGATGTGTTAATCACAGACTGCGGGAGCATGACTCGTCGTTGCGATCAGTGGTGGGAGCTGTAGGGGGCATCTGTCATTGCATTGTCATGGATGTGGGTGCAAACCTATCTTCAGTAAGAATGGTATCATTGGCAATGGAAGGGACAGAGTGAATAGAGAAATTTTAGAGGGGCATGCAATTATCAAAGCAGGCGCGAACTGCTTAAGCCAAAGCAAAGCAAATTGGGTTAGGGGAATATTTATACAGCGTGTAGTTGGTCAGCCATTAAAGTAACGACGAGTCACACGCTGTATATGAGCAATTTAGCCAGTGCAGTACAACCGCTAGCCTGGGGTCTTTAACGTGCACCACGCAGTGGTGATACATAACGGCACACCGTACGATGCTCATCCAGATCGAAACGGGCAGGGGTGGGGCTCGAACCCAGGATCCCTGCATTCTGCAGCGCGCGCTTTCGTTCCACGCACGTCGAGCTGGGTGTGCGCTTTAGCCCCCTCGGCTACCAATTTTTTTTTTCTTTATTGACCCTCGGCTACCGATCCCCCCTGCTTAAGCCAAACGTCACTGGGCTTGAGCAGTAAAGAGATTGTTTTATTGGACACGTGGTGAATGTATCATGTGACGTGGGCGGAGTTGCTGTTTTCTTTGTTTTGTTTTCATGTGATTAAATTTCAGTTGAGAGTCAGCGCTTGTCCTGTTTGCAATTCCTTTAGTCCCCGTTTACTGTGCGCTGTTTGCCTTTTTGTTGGGGATATGTGTTTTGACAGAAATCCGTCACTTGAACACGCCTGCAAATGAATTTCGGAACGCCAATAAGCCCTGATCCTGCCTTATATTTTTGTAAAGTGTGCTGCTTTAGTGGTAGATGCGCAGTAAATTTTTAATTACGACCATATATATTTTTTGATTGCCCCCAGTAAGAAGGAACGTAATTATTCTGAACGTTATCAATTTTTCAATATTTCCTTCAGCAGAAAGCATCTGTCATCGACCGGTATCAACCTTTCGCTGCGCGATGCGTTTTTTTCGCAGGAGCGATATGGTCAGCGTTCCGGAAAACACCCGGAATATCTTTGTTATTGCTCTTTTATAGATGATTTGCCAAAAAAACTGCATTCGCTTAAAAGTTTTATTCCTACTTACAGCTATCTCTACGCCATATCCTGGTTTAATGCATATGCCCTCGCTGTCCAAAAGGTTTTTAATGATCTTATTTAACTTCTAGTATACATACAAATTCGATGCCTTCGTAATGTGGGGAAAGCAGGATCGTACCTGATGCATGGCCGAAATATTGATTCATTTATCGAAGCTTATGTAACAAACCTACAAAAAAAACGGCGTAACTTACCACGTAATATACAGAAGAAACCTTGTTTGGAGGATAGGTAAACAGCACAGCTTCGTATATTTCGTTGGGCTGTAAAACAAAAATTGTTTCAGAGGAACAACGACTTCATTGTATCTCCCAGACATGTGCACGCGAGAGAAAGGAAGTACCTAAATACCCTCACTTGTAACTCACTCAAAAGTAACACCTAGATACCTTACTCGTTAGTGCCATTCAAAAGAAACGCGTGCCCTCAGATGGAACGCGTTGCATTCTTGTTTCCTTAACGTGTAGATTTTTTAAGCAATAGCCACTTCCAGTATTGGTCGTCGTTCATAATTCCTCGCGTTTCAACGCGTTCATTTAGAGATTGCTGTGGCTATACTGACCTACCTTTTTCGTATCCTTTTTTGGTCCACATAGCGTTTTCTCTTCGTGCAAATTTCCGGCAAGAGCTGGGATGAGAGCTAGGTTGTTGTGCACGTTCCCTTCCACGAGTGTTGAAATGCCGTCACTCGTTACTTGCTCAAAGCTACTCTTTAAGATGGAGGCTTGGCTACGTCAGCTGTTCATCACTCAAAGATAACAGCACAAAAGATAACTCGCACACTCTGACCACACGCACAAAGTCAAAAGGGAACGTCTGAAGTCGCGCTGACTAGCAATTATGGTTTGTATTTTTGTCTTATACCTTCACATTGATAAAAATTGAGAAAATAAAAATAAAAATTGTCACCACACTTCGTTGTTTTTTTTCTGCTGCTCAGTAATACATTTCTTATCTTGTGGGATATTTCGTCTAGTATGATACGTTGTTGGGCTGGTTGGTTCGTCTTGGCTAAATGCATAAAATAGCGACAAAAAAAAAAGACAAGGACAAGAAATAAACACGACAGGATGTTTCGTCCTCTTCCGTACGATTTCAAGGTCTAACGCACTTGTCACTTTCGAGTGAAGTCTAGCTATGCTTAGATATATTTAGACCCTTTAGAGAAAACACATGAGCTCCCTAAGCAAGGATCTTTAAGATTTCAGGAACCTTAGACGGTTTTGTTTTTTTTGAGCTGCCATGCATGTTGTTCATATTTACCTAGGGGGACAAACACTCTTTAAATATGGTACGGCTCATTCTAAGTTGATAAAAAGGGGTATAGTCAATCATTGCTTGAAATAATCTGTTTGTTTTGAAGCTCTGAAGTTCTTGCAAATCACAAGACAGCGACAGAAACCAAAGCCCGACAGTTCTATCCTACATTCCCAATAGATCCCCTAATATCAAGAAAGTCGGTAACCGAGCAAATTATGATTTGTTTTTTGAGCTCACCCAAAAGCTCTCAAATTCGTGTAAAAAAAAAAAGATAACCTATACCAAAATACAATACAGGCTGCGCAAAAGCGTAAAACGCCTTACATCCCTTGCTCAGAACGAGTGTTTATTCCTTCTACCTTTCAGGTAACAAACTTTACGTAGGTGAAATAGGAAGAGGCGTTAGAAACCCATTAGGGGAGCATAAGAAAAACATCCGAGTAGCTAATTCAGAACTTCTAGGCATTCAATGCCGTTGCTGCGGATGCTCAGCCAGCTTAAAAAACTGCTCCGTATTCAGCACCCATTTCTCCCCTTGCAATTTGAACGCCTCGCCACGCCGGAAATAAAAAAAACAACAACATATTTTTGCGCTAGAAATGTTTAGGGAACAAGCCACCATACACAATGAGCAAAAAGTCGCATGGACCAAAGAGCCAGCGGCGCACCATTCGCCCAGCGGCGCAAATGCCTGACAACCGCGACTTGCATGGCAATAAGTGGCGCTTCCCCATCACTCCCAAATCAATGCAAAAAAGAACCCAAGGTTGCTTGTTATCCAGCCATTCAAATTATGCCAAGCCTGTCCGCGCCGATGCCTTTCTACTATCGGGGAGTAGGATGTTTACCCCCTAGTAAAGTATGTGGTGTGCGTGTGGTCTGAGTGGTGCGAGTTATCTTTTGCGCTGTTACCTTTCGGTCATAAATACGTTACTCGTCGTTTCTCCTACGAAGTAGCTACGCTGTTTCTTCGCTACCGAAAAACAAAAACCAGGTAAAACTAACGCGTCACGTGCAAGTCTGATTTATCTCTATGGCTTACTATAATTTATCTCGTTCTCCCTTTTCTTCCATAGTACCCTTTGGTATCTCCCTCGTTTAACGTTAATATATTTGTTTTCGCTCATCACTACACTTATTACAATAATTATCACTACACTTATTACTCATCACTACTAAGTATCATTAATATTGGCAATATTTGGTGTCTATTACATTTGTGTTAGATACTCGCATCATCTTATAGCAACAATAACACTAATAAAGATCTTCACAAATGCAAAGAAAATATTGGCTAAATATGCTTGGTTATATTAGCAACAGTAACCGGTCTCTACTTTCAAATGCGAGTCACTGGAAATATTGACTAGTCATATGAACTTTCGCCACATCTCAGCCAGCTTAAGGTTTCCATGACTTCATTAAATTGAGCGATATAACTATTAGCTCTATAGATTTCTTTAATGTTTCGTGAAATACAACTTGCGTTCTTGGATTTGTATAGTTTCAAATAGGAAAGGGTGAAAACAGGGGCGAGCTGGTGAACAAGTTACATGTAACCGGAGACACGGAACGAGAAAAAAAAAGGACAAAACAACGAGGCTCAACAATAAGAAAACAGACAAAATGCAAACAAGTCTCTTAAGACTTGTTGTTTCGTCCGTTTTTTTATCGTTCCGTGTCTCCGGTTACTATGGAAGGGCTTAAAACGTTTGGCCAAGACCAGCCTCATAAGAGGGCACAGACTCGACATGTCAGAGAAAGGCCTGTTGGGACTCGTTTATTTGAAAGTACTACTCGTGTTGAGTCTGTGAAGCGGCTACGAGCTCTAGCCAATCGCGGACGAAGCAATCCCGCGCTTGCTCGATGTAGATGAGGTAATTAATCCAGTGTATATGCCTGTTTTCTTTAGCCCAGCTCACTTCAGTATTAAGACCGGAATGTTTTTCCTGTGTACTCTTAAAAACGTTTTAATCGATTAATTGATAGTTGAAAACCTTCCGCCTGTGCCACATCGTCTTTAAAGTAGCTCGTTAGTTCACAGAACCTACGGATGTGCGTGTGAAAATGAACACGATTTTCCAAGAAATCAGTTTCCAAGGACGCACCGTTCTGTAACGTGCGCTACCGCCTTGGCGAAACGTCAGAATCATGACTTAGGTAGAACCTGGCTGCTATGCTCCGGATGTTTCCTCAATCGATCTTAGTACTAATTTATTCTAGCGTGGCATTCCAGTCCTGGAGTTCTCCACCCGAACAGTGTCGGTGGTAGCAAAAGTGTTAGTAGGTCACGACTGTACGCAGAAATTATCCGTTTCAATTTGCGTTCTCTTCTTTGTGTCTTAGTAACTTAGTGACGTTTAAATACGCGAATACTGTGGGATTACCTGTCTGGCTCTGCCTAGAGCTGCCTATACGGAGAGAGTTTAGCCAATCTTCGAAGCCCGTGGTAAACCAGATCAAGTGGCGTCTTTTTTACAACACATCTTATCGAGAGACGGTCGCGGTTGTTGTGAGTCAACAACACTAAATGAAGGAGAGAAGATGCCACTTCTCGGTTGCCATACTACCAGTCGTGGTTGCTTCACTGTCGGCATCTTCACAATGCGGAGGGCAAGTTCGTCTACTTCTTGCGCAGAGGGTAGCAGTGACGTCAGAACGCCGAGCTCTGGTTGGAGGAATTAGTGGGGAGACCAAAAGCTAGCCGCTTTTTTTTTTTTTTTCACTGCACTCGTCGAACGCGTTAGAACGGTGTTTGGCTTCGCCTTTGAACTGCTCGACAGGTGCACTGAGAAAAAGAAAATTCGTTGAAAACACGTAAGACTGCTCACATGTAAGAATGCGAAAGCATTCCTGCACGCAGCGCATTCCTACAAGCAACGCGACACGTCTCTATTTTCACACGGCGCTCCCTCGGTGACACTATGCTCCCCCACTGCGCAGTCGTGGCACCTCCTCCGACTCCTCGGCTTCCATGACGACGCATCTGCGTTGCTCTGCTTTTCTTTGTCTTTTATTCCTGAGGCGCCTCCGCTTCGTCCTTGAGCATCCCCGCAGTCTTCCGTGACGAAGCATCTGATATGATGTGCCGCAGTCAATGGGAATTTATGCTCGTTTCGTTGCTGCAGTCAACGCCGGCTTCGCTCCATGGGACAGTTCATGCCTTCGCATAAAAAGGGAGTTGGCTTTAGGTCTGTCCAGTAATCATTCGAACCAGAGCTCAGTCTACTGAGGTCCCAGCACCCGCGCTCTTCTCCCTACCTCCCTCTCAGCTTCTCGGTGCATTGCCGAGCTCTTCCAGTTTAAACGGCCCTGACTCTGCCGGTTTTCACGAATATCGCACCACATATACCTTAGTTCCCTAGTAATACCTTGTCTCATTACCCGGGTTGATTCGTTTTTTCAGTCGCCGAAGCATACTTCTGCTTTGTGTTTTTAAATCAAGCGTGACAACGCGATTTTTTTTTCGCCAAACGCGCCTCGTGATGTATTTGGCAACATGTCAAGATAGGCGCGCACAGGCCCCAGGCGTGCAATCCACGACGATAGACGCCGTCTGCTAACTTCAACGTAGATAATCCAACCTGCGGCGCATCCAGCCGTTCAAACTCCTTCGAACGCGTCGGCGCCGGGGCCTATCCATTCTCATAGCGTGGCATGTGTTCTCCTTTATATTTTCTATACAGGTGACGACACGTCATCTAACCGTCAGACAGTTGCACTACGTTGTCACCTCTCGCTTATTGGCGGATTTTTGAGCGTCTTAAAAAAAGATCAAGCAGACTACTCGAGAAGACCAATGGCGCCAATGGCTGTTTTCTTACCCTGGACTTTTTTTTGGGATCTCTTCTTTCGATCGCTATGAAGCCTCTTGCTGTATGCTCATACTTCGAAAGCTGGAACTCAACTTGGGCCTGCTCGCTCTGTCGAAACGCTTTGTCGATTGTTTCCACCTGGATAAGAGGAATCGAAAAGAGAGGCGGACATGGGCACAACCGGTTAGTCATTTTGACTCAAACTTTATTTACGTGTATCCGTTAGAAAAACACCCGGAAAATAACAGCCACCAGGATATTAACAACTATAGACTGAACTTCCCCAAAATGGGAGCGTATTTGATCCGGGTGACACCGTAGTAGCACTGTGTGTGCACCAGAACCGTAATTAAAAGTTGTTCATTATTCGCGGAAGAAACTACTTAAGCACAACAGGTTTGCATGCGAATTACAGTTGGTGGCGTTGAACAAGTAGACGATGGTTAAAAAAGAAACGAGTGTGGAGCGGAGGCTATTTAAGTTTAAGCGACCTTGAGGGACGGGGTGTTTTCATTGAAATCCTTTCATTAAAACAAAGACACTTAGACAGCGACAACACAAATGATGATCAGCGAGAAAATAAAAAAAAAAATAAAAAACAGAATTTCACGTGATATATCTTATATACGGGATCAGGACATTTGGGTGCACGGACTTTTCGGTGCACGGTCAATCAAAATCACGTGTTTTTTTTGTTTTTTTTTTTTGTTTTTTTTTGTGTGTGGTTTTTTTTTGTAGTTTTTTTTTCTAAAAGTAATAAGCACTATTTTTGCCAGAAATGATTTTTCTGCACTTTATAAATTTGTAGACTTGGTCATTCATTTACGGTCACTTATTCATATACGACCTGAGTGACTTTGGCGCAGCACCGTCCTGCAGGAGGACAGGATACGTTGGACGGTATGTTTCGTTTGCCGGTGTCTGTTTTCCGACGTACGCACTAAACGCATCATAGTGTTTAGGCGTTGGTTCGGTACAGGCGTTCTCAATGCCTTCTGTAAATGTGTGGGCTTTATTATTGGTAATCTGTGAAGGACAGGCCCCAACAGTTAAAGCTTGAGAATTTTGAAAATTAATGGCGACATGTGATGCGACTAGTGCTTACGTTGGAAAAACGACACCGATAAACGAACCATAACGTCCAACGTCTCCAATCCTCACGCAGGATGGCAACGCGCATAGCAAAGTCACCTACGTCGTATATCAGTAAGTAGCGTAAATGGATGATCAAGTCTAGAAAATTATAAAGCGCGAAAAAATATATTTCTAGCTAAAATAGTCCTTATTACGTTTAAAATAAGAAACAAAAAAAACTCGTGATTGATTTTGATTGGACGTGCACCGAAATGTCCGTGCACCGAAAAGTCTGTGCACCGAAATGTCCGCGCACCGAAAAGTCCCACACTGAAAAGTCCGTGCACCCAAAAGTCCGTGCACCGAAAAGGCCGCGCACCGAAAAGTCCGCACCGAAACGTCCTACACCGAAAAGTCCTAGACCCCTTATATAGACAAGGTGTTGCATAACCTTAAAAGATAGCAATTAAGTACGATGCCAATGTTATTTTCTCAGCTCCATGCAAGCAGGAAAAAGTTTGTCCAGTAATGACTAGACAGAAACGTGTTCAATGCTCAAAAAAGCCTGTCACTCGGCACACAGCTTGTGCCTGTAATGTTTTTTACAAGATTCCACTAACGTGTGTGCGCGTGTATATTAGACAAACTGGGCGGTGTTTTAAGGAAACGGCGCCTGAACATCGTCTTGCGATTCGTAACAAATCTGGGGGACATCTTGCAGCACACCGCATTCGGTGCGGGTGTGATCCCCTGTTAGGATTAACGAAACTTATTAAAAAAAAAAAAAAAAACAAGAGTGAAAGGGAAATCGTTGAAGGGTATTTTATAAAGTCCTCGGGTGACAAGTGCGCCAACACGCGTTCGATTGTACTAAATTTGTATTTATTTTTATTTTTATTTAAAAAAAATAAAAATAAATAAAAAGGAATGACAAAGAATTTTTTTTCATGGTTTTGTGTAGAGACGTTGAACTGATACGACTGTTTAAATCACTTCCATCTGTCGTTCGTGTTTATGGGTCGCTTTTATCACTGGGGGTTGACAAGATAGAGAAGAGTGTTCTCGCATGTGTGCTGGGTGGTTTCCCTCGATTAGATCAGTTGGAAGTAAGCTTTAGTCTCTGTTATTTGTTTGTCTTTTTCGTCCGTGTTTTTCTTTTTGCGTTTTTAAGACCTCTAGATCATAATGAATCAACTAGCCCAATTCAAAGTTTTAATCCAAAGTCTCAACCCTGTCCCTAGTGGGTCCGATGCTGGGGTAACGCGGACAAGGCTTGAACCTCATACTTAAAACTAGTAGCGTCTTGCTGACAGGGGTCTGCAGCCCAGTCTTTCAAGGCACTAACAGTGACCCGTGTTTCCCCAGGTAGCTACGATTACCCAGCACAGAGGCCAGTTATCTCCTATCATCGATACACTGCTGAATCAGCTGACGACGGAACACGCACCGACTCGACGCAAGCGCAAGGTCCTCGCTGAGGGATTTTCCTCTGGGCACCGCTGAACCTCACGTGCCCTGAACTTTTCCGGTGCTACAGCTATAAAAGCCGTGGAACACGATCGCCTCATGGGATCTGCAGCCCAGTCTTTCAAGGCACACACAGTGAATTGTGTTTACCCAGGTGGACGTGTTAGAACACTCCTCTGCCCCTTTTTGCATGTTGGCTGCAAATCCCAAGCCATGGGTGTTGATTTGTGCAATTATCGTGCCCGAATTGGTCTTTCCGATAAGCTGAAGGCGGCAGTCAAAGGTAGTTTCACGCCATTCGTTTGGTTGACACCAAGGATTGCTGTCGGGCAAAGTGTTTGCCTCTTGCTTAGTGTGGCATTGATTTTATTGTGTGCTGGGGACGTCGAGCGCAATCCCGGACCTGGTTGCGTATCCGACGACAGCAAAATTTCATAACTGCAAAATTTTATCGAGGCACTGATTTCCGCCAACTCGAAATACCAGAGCGAAAATCCCAGCCGACTTGTTCACATCACCCTAGGAATTTATTTTTTTAATTAGAAAGGGTAACGGCCTTAGAGGTTAATACTCCAGACCTTACGCAAATCCGTGACTACTTCAGACAGCTAAAAATTGAGGTTGAAACCATCAAAGCTCAACTTAACCAATCTAGGTGTGCCAACGCTAGCACCCTGGAACCAGTTGAAGTCATTGGTGACCTCAACGACCGATCAAGACGCACTAATTTCAGAATTAAATGGTTTAGTGAAGTCGAGGAGGAATCACAAACCCAACCGGAATCCCACGTGAAAAGTTTCTACTTAGACGTACTTGGTGACGAAGTAGGAATTTTTTAACGCTTTCACAGACTCGGATGCAAGTCCTATGGTAACATTACATAGCCAGTCAAGATTAAGCTCCTTGACTAGCGAGATAAGGTTGCTATGATAAAGAACGCCCCTAAATTAAAAAAAAACATGGATCCGACAAAATTTGGATCGACAAGGACCTTTCATGACGAACTGGGTTAGCACGGTCTAAACTCTGGAAATTCGGCAAAAAGTTACGGCTACAAAATCTAAAATCTAAGCTCAAGATCGATAAACTGTACTGTTTCAAAAAGATATACGGGTACGACTTCGTTGAAGGCCGAGTTCTTGAACTAAAACTAAAAAAAGTACCCCTCGACTTACGGTTATCAAGTGACCAAAGAACCTTTGCTGCCCTTGCGCACGTTACACGCACTCATTTTCTGTTTACAAATTCCGAAGCGTATTAAAAAAAAAATAAGATGCTTTGCTTGATCGTTCCAACATGTAAGATAGCCAAGTCATCCTCGGCACAGAAACGTGGCTGTCCCCGGTTATATCAGATAACGATCTCTTGAATTCTTGCTTTTCTCTTTCGCAAGTATAGATTAATCAACAAGGGCGGCGGCGCTCTGATTGCTGTTAGGGACCACTTACTTGCCTCTGCAGTTGATATTGAAACAGACATCGATATAATGTGGGTTCAGTTGAAAATTTTGCAAAAAAACTTTGTTATAGGTCTGTGTTATCGATCCCCGAACTTCGATTGTTCCTTCGTGTCAAGATTAAAGCACTGTCTTGAGAAGTTGTTTTCTGTGCAGTCTAATTGTACGGTTACTTTATTTGGAGAGTTTAGATTTCCAGGATTTGACTGGGTTTCAGATAGTGTCAACCCCTCGCGTAAAAACAAGCAAGAAAGCCGTGTATTTCTTGATGTTATGAGTACTTTTGTTATTTTACCAAATTATCAAAAAACCGACGCGAGACGATGCAACCTTAGATATATTTGTTACAACCCACGCTGACTACGTAGGCGATGTGCACCATCTCGGTTTGTTTAGTGACCACTCTCTTTTTAATATTCATCTATCCATTAGTGTTCCATCCGCTGTGATATAAAAAAAAGAAAATTCGGAACTATGCTAAAGTTGACTTTGACAGCATTAATGCAAAGCTTTTAGAGGCAAGAATCAAAGAAAGAATAAGTACACTAAGGGACAAGGACAGGCAGCACAGTTCTTTCAACTAGCCACGAACATTTACTGAGGTCTCCTTCAATACGTACTATCTCCCTCCCAACTTTTTAAACTAAAGAAGAAAAAAAATCTCTCGGAAAAAGACAAAAATCTCCCAAATAAACTTTTTCATGTACCTTTTAAGAAGTTGGGAGGGAGGTCGTGCGTATTGAAGGAGACATCAGTAAATGTTCGTGGCTAGTTGAAAGAACTGTGCTGCCTGTCCTTGTCCCTAAGTGTTTTTATTCTTTCTTTAATTCTTGTATTTTCATCAACCCGTTCTTTGTCTTTTAGAGGCATTTCCATATTTTGGGCATCAATTCACACAATATCAGTAGAGCATAACTGGCACATTATCAAAAAAATTTTTCATAACCTCATTGATTTATCTGTTCCAAAATCTCGATTAATTTCTAACCACATGTCGCCGTGGTTCAACTTAAGTACAAAGAGAATGCCAGGGAAAAAATAAAGGCTTTTTCTAGTCACCAAGAAAAGACGAGGGCGATGCCTCACGGTCTTGCTTCCGTGATTTCACTAGAATTTATAAACGCTAAATGAGGAATGCAAAACTGAATTTCTTTTCAAACGATCTGTATAACATTTTTTTTAACCCACGGAGGCTGTGTAAAATAATTAATCCCTCGTCAAACAAAAGTCCAGTTATCTCAGACTAGACTGGTAAGCGGCTGACTGAAAATAAAATGAGTAATGATAAATTTAACGAGTATTTCAGTAGTTCTTTTTTTTATCGTGAAACTTTCCCCATACCGCAATTACCTCCTCAGCACGTGACTGATGAAATGAAATCTGTTACAACTAATCCTGAAGAAATATCAAAATTAATAAAGCAACCTCCTCTCAGCTTCGCTCCTGGTCGCGATGATATGCAACTTCCTCTCAGCTTCGCTCCTGGTCCTAATGATATAAACAGTAAAATTTAAAAGATTACTAAGCAGGCCTCGTTTCTCTACCTCTATAAGATTTTCAACCAGTTGCTTATTACTGGTGGCCTCACTAGTGACTAGAGACATGCAAATATCATTCCAATTCATGAGTCCAGGTCATCTGACGATTTGAACAATTATAGGCAGATCTCCTTAACAAGTGTTCGTAGCAAACTATTGGAACATATTATTTTTACAAACATTCTGGAATTTTCGGATGCCAAAGATGTATTATTTTCGTATCCGCATGAATTTCTTGAAAATTTATCATGTTCAGCGCAGCTTGTCGAGTTGGTAACCGATATTCACAGTAACCTCAACTCACTTAAACAAAACAGATGCTCTATTTATAGACTTTTCGAAAGCATTTGACCGTATGCCCCACTGTAGACTGATCGCCAAATTAAACCAGTTAAGTATTATTACTGTGTTACTAAGCTGGAAAAGTACTTTTCTTGCGACTAGAACCCAATCTGTGAGTCTGGGTAAAGCCTCTTCGCAATCTTTACTAGCTATCCCAGGGGTGCCTCAGGCTACTCTCTCTACTGGTTCCCTAATCTTACTTGTTTACATAAATGATATCGGTTATCGCCTGGAAAGCTGTGTTCGTCTATTTGCTGATGACCTTGGTATTTATCGCGCTATTACTAGTAAAGATGATTGCCTAGCATTTCAACAATACATAAGATTAATTTAAGTCTAGCGTGATGAATGGCTCATTTCTATTAATCATAGTACATGTAAATGTGTACCATTTTCTAAACCTCGTAAACCAGTAAATTATTCCTATCAACTCATATCAAAACCTGTAGAAAAGATTTTGTCTTGGAAACACCTTCACGTTTACCTAAGGTCTGATCTATTATGGAAAACACATATTGAAAACATAACTTCAAGTGGTTATAAAACCTTAGGATTCCTTAGACGCAACCTACGTCAAGCCTCACCGAAGATTAAACAGCTGTCATACTGTACCCTTGTTAGATCCAAGTTGCAATATGTTTCTACCCTCTAGAACCCCCACCAGACTTACCTTTCGGACATGTTAGCATCAGTACAAAACTGCGCGACTAGATTTATCCTTCACGACTATTCGCCCAGAAGTATTTCTGCCCTCAAGGCCTCAATATTATTACCTCCTCTTGAGAATAGGCGCACCGTAGAGAGATTTTTTTTTTCACCACCTCTTTTATAAATCATGGACTGACCGGGAGTTCTTTCCCGCAACAAATCATATCTCCTTCCGTCATGATAATTGCCACAAACTCGATCGAGCTACCCTTTGCCAGAACAAACACTTTTAAAAAATCAACTTTTCTTTTGTGCACAAAGCACTGGAATTCACTACCAGAATCTCTCGTAACAATTACAGATCAGAGGTCATTTCTTGCAGAGCTGACTCTGCATCTGTTACCCTAACTTTAGTTTAGTATTTTTCGAACGGATGTTGTCACCTTTGCTTCTACGTTGTATCTAATCTCCTGAAATGTTACTTTGTGTTTTGTATTACCCCCTATAGGTAGTGCCCCCTCAGGGGCCCTTAAGCAATAATAAATGAAATGAAACCAGAGGAAATTTGGCGACTCTCTTGCGGGGGAAAAAGGCGGGGAGTAATTTTTCTTTTTTGTTAGATTTTCTAAAGGTCATCGTGGTGATATCCCTGACTGCTCGGTGATAGTTTGCGGAAAGAAAATTAGCTTAAAAGGGCCAAAAAGATTCATATGTCCGTCTTTTAAACTTAGGCTAGGTGGCACAAGTTACTGCCCGTTACAAAGGGTAAAGCCATAAATATCCATCCATCCATCCGTTCTGTGACGGGGCAACAAGCATGATGTCTCGCCTACTCATAGTTCGCGCATATGTGGCAGTTTCCAGTCAGCCAGTTTTTTGCGCCTTGCCATTCACTGGAAGAACTTTGCAGATTGCAAAGGTGGACCCTTCATGTGCCATGAAGGAGAATAAACGCCCAGGAGGTTTTTAAGGTGCAGTATTTAGAGTATAACACTACGAGGACCGACACCATTCACAAAGGCGCTATCGCCTGGTGTAAATAAATCGTCGCAGTCTTATTAATATATATATATATATATCACTGGCCGCGCTTTTGCTCTTATGCTTAGCGGAACGTCGACCGCCATTTTGGACCTCCTTGGGAGGTACCTTTTTGGGAACGTTTCCAAAAAAACGCCAGTTACCTTTATTGTTTGCTTGAATACGCTCCTCAATTTAATGTAATATTTTTAACAAAGTAATGCGTGGACTTAGCATTTCCTAAGGTGTCACCTTCAAGTTCAGGGAATCGTCGTTGATTGCTGTCGAGATGGGAAATGTGGCGATGCCATCATTGTCTGTGGTTGCCTTCGTGCTTAGGTTCTTCGGACCCCTGTTTGTCAACTGCATCTCGATTCCTCGGGCAGCATCTCCGTTCAGGTACGTCACTTGGGCCTGTGGTGGGCAACAAAAACCCATAGAATGAGGTCAAGTGGAACTGCGTTGGTGGTGCATGCTACAGGCTTACTAAAATTACCACACCTGATTTCTGTGTCTATTTAGTACCTCGACCATACTCTGGGAATACAAATGAAAAGAAATCACGTAACGGTAACGGATTATGCGCTCGGAAGATTGCAGCATTTTTGCGTTTGTTTTTATGAGGTTGCTTCTTTTTTTGTATTGCTCCTTTGTATTTCGGGTCGTCAGATATGACTCCGTCCGGACGTGCTAAAAATTCACTAGAGGTAAAACAACTGGCAAAAGATCACGTGTTGTGAAACCGAAAATGAATATGACAATAAATTAAGGAGTACCATTAGAGAGTCCCTGAAGATGTTCCCTGATAGTGTCGTCATATTAGATCATTTTATAAAGGATGGTCAATAAAGTTTTCTTCTTTTTTATTCAGAAATGAAATTAAAGCATGCTATATTCAAATAAAGGTTTGTGAGCTCCTCTTTAACAAGAGCACATCATTTGTCGATATAGTTCCCAGTATCAATTATGTTTTACGGGGTCCCGGATCTGAATGAAGGCTTTAAGGGGACCGCATTATTCGGCTTGGCAACATTTACGATTTAGCACAGGGGCACCTGAAGGTGGTGAATGCATAGCATCCAAAGTAAAAAAAAAAAAAAAAAAAAAAAACTTTCGTAAATAAAAAATAAAAAAAGAAGTTGCTGGTTTTCTTTCCCTATGGCGCCCGTGTGCTAAGCGCACACACTCTGACCGGCGCAACAGCCGACAGATGGCGGTAGCGGCGGCTAACGGCAGCTCAGCAGCCGCCCGGTCGTGCTGAAGGCAGACATGTAGATAAACTCGTTTGTTAAACCATAGGTTTTATATTGTCACGAATGACAAGTGATGAGCCGATAATAACTGGAGAAACTAAACGTTTAATGGGGCGAACTTGTGCCCAAAAATAAAAAGGAAACAGAAGAAAGCAGCGCGTCGCGGGCGTCGAAGTCGGCGTGACAGCAGAGTCGAACGCTGGGGCGAAACTGAATCAGGCTTGCCACGCGGAGCCCCTTTTGTGCACGCGTAGGCTTCTGGAACAATCGGCGTAGAAGGTTCGGCGTGTCGAACATTCTAACCTCGAATCAGCATGTTGACACGATGTTTCGATCAGTTTTAGATCATTGTCTAACATCGCACAATCTTCTGGAATTTTAATCTTCTTAAATAACGTACAGTCGTCGACATATGACCTTATAAAGTAATGGACAGAATAGAGTGGCAGGTCATTCGCGCAAATAAGAAAAAGAGCAGCAGACCAAGCGCGGTTCCTTGGGTCACTCCTGATTTTACTGTTTGATGCGATGAATAGTCATGTTCATAATTATTGCTCTTAGTATGAATAACAAGAATAGCTGAACCCCACTCTGTGGTGTATGGATCTATTTTGATACTTGGTTTCAGCTTCAGTCCAGACGCAGGCGACGCTGCGAGCTGGAACCAATCAGAGAGCGTGAAAAGCGCACCAACATGGTTTTCCTTGTGTTCCTCTAGCATCGCTGAACCAATCATGAACAGAAGAGGAATTGCGCTTTCGACGGTGCTGATTGGTACCATTTGTTCGTAGCCTCGGCTGCGTCTGAACTTAAGCTGGAGCATTGCATAACTATGTTCTGTTTTTCGTGAGACGGTGACAGAGTACTTTAATAAAAGCCCCCTTTTTTGTAACAATAAACATAATATGTCTCTGTACGGGATTGTAAGATCTTACAAATCATTACTGCAATAATTTATTTCGGCGCTTACGCATCTTCCTTGGTCATAAGGTGTTTTTATCGTTATTTTCTAGCGTTTTGTATTCATATTACTGTTGTAGCCCCCATCTCCCCCATCTCCCGCAATGATCTCAAATGAGGTCATTGCGGTTGGCAATTGCATGTACAAATAAATAAATACGTATAAAGCTGGTTTCGCGGAAGGTTGAAATTTGCAAACCGCTCTGATATACAAAAACAAAATGGAGTTGTTAGCTCACACGTAGCCAATACACGCGAACATGTAATGTGCTCCATACATTTTCTAGGAATATTAGTTCTCTATGAATTGACGACACAGGAGGCAACACTTATTCACTGTGCGTCGTATGCTAACATCTTGCTCTTCACATACCTGCTATAGCTCTCATCAGAGTGTCAGAAATGTGTCTGAATAAAATAAAAACAAAATTATATGAACGTATGGTTGTCCCCTCGTTTTCATTATAACGCAAAGAGATGCTCCACTAACAATGAATGCGTGCAGTCTCATGATGCCCGCGAACATAAATTATTGATCGTCTGGGAATCAGGTTTCTGAATGAGGAAGACTGGAGTTATTCCGGTTCAGTGACCGTGCAGTCCTGCTTTTTCTCCCCCTGTTTATGATGATTGCTGCTGCAAGGTACTGGAAGCCCTCTTCATCGATTCGAGAAATGTGAATAATTTACGTTCTGCCACCTCTTTTCTGCGTGGTGCGCCTGCAGATACTTCTGAGAACGCTTAGGCATCAGGAACTTATGATCAACAGGTGAGGCCGATTTTGAGTGCGTTCCTGTTTTTGCCATTAGTAAGCGATTGGTTGCCGTGTATTCTGACCGGATGACACTAGTTAGAATGAAATAACCATGCTTGTCCACATCCTGTCTCAAAAGGATGCTGAACTCACAAAAAACTGTGTTTATTTTTAAGTGCCAGAATTCAACACCTGTAGATTTTAGTAAGCCCAATATTTACAGCGCGATTCTCATTTAGAGTTCATGGCTTTTCCGAAATCTGCTTAGGTTTCGAGACGTCGACCCCAAAATCGAATGTTTCACAATCGCTCAAATAAGTTTAATAATGTACATATTGCGCTCATTTATTCTTGTTGTTTTGTTGTTGTTGTTGTTGTTTTTTTTTCGACGGAGGGGGATTTTTTTTTTATGACAGGTGTGTCTATTTCTGCCACAACAGAAAAAAACATTTTGGGGGATTCTAGTGTCCCTTTCACATATTGACTGCGCGAGGTGCCTATTTATGTCTTTCGGTTGTTTTACCTTTTAGAAATGACGGCCCTCCCATCTGCAGCTGAGACACACTTACGATGGCATAGGTCTTTACGCCAGGCTTGAAGCTCTTCTGGCTCTTGCTCGTGGAGATGACGAACGGCGTGGTGGAGAAGACGGCCTTCTCGTTGCGAGCAGACTGCTTGGCGGCGGTCGCCTCTTCGGTCACCGTGGCCTCGATCACCAGGCGGTATCGGCCACGGAACAGACTCTCCAGAGGAGCTCCCAGACGCCGCGCAATGCTGTCTCTGTCCACTTGGAAACGTGCTATTCCGTCAATAAGCTGCACAGGAAAGTGAATCGAGACAGTTTAAGAAGCGGAGGAAAGCGTTAGATTTACTCCCAGTGTCACGAATGGCGGATAAGGTGGGCTTGGCAGCACGGAGCCAGCGCTATACCTAATCCACTACTCTTTCTTGTACAGGTTCGTAAAAGTCGTTCACATTCTTGCCTAAAGAGTAATTGTCTTTTTATTCGTGTTGCGAAGCCCACAGGCCCCTGAGATATTTCGTGTAAGTGCTGGAACGTCACGTTGTTATAGTTAGAACTTAGTGGAGGTGTCGAGCTAAATCCCGGTCCTCTTACCCAGAAACATCTGAAGGAGCTTTTAGTCGTACAAAAACAGATCGCAGAAGATATAAAAAAAAATCAATGGTGGCCTTGACAAAAGACTGCAGGCCATAAAGGAAGTCACGCACGAGACAGAGCAGTTGTCAACGGATAAGTTTGTTGATCGGATCTTAAAAACAAAACTAAATTTAGATGTCGAGATTGCAGAACGCGTTCACAGGATAGGAAAGATGTTTCATGATGAACCACGACCAATAATCTTATGACTTGAAAATTTCAAGGAAAAGACAGGCATCATCAGCAATGCGAAACGTTTAAAAGGTACAACATTTTTTATCAATTATGATTACTCTAGGCGGGTACGAAGTATTCCACAAAATCTCTGGCAAAGTTTTATAGCATACAGAACGAAAGGTGATAAAGTATTTCTCGTGTTCGATAAACTAAAAATAAACGGAGGTGTTTACGCTTGGGATGAACAAACACTGATCCCCTACGAACATGTACAAAAAAGTTTTCAACCCCGAGGGGAATGACAACGAAAGGATGAGAACTGAAAGGCATTTTCAATAATCATTTTAAATCCTAAGAGTATCGTGAGTAAAACTATTGATTTGGAAAACATCCTTGTCGTGCATGATCCTTCTGTTGCTATAATTACTGAGATGTTTTTAGTATGTTCTATTTTCGATTTCGAAGTTGTTCCTCCTGGATATGGTACTGTTATGAAAGATTGAGAGGGCAGAGGGGGTGGAGCACCTGTTATAATAAATAACTGTATCGGTTGTGTTACAAAAGAAGGCACCCCCGACTTTGAATGCGTTTAGTGTAGACTTAAGATATCAAGGCCGGAGGTCTTAATAGGAATGGTTTACTGCCCTCCAGTCACATCCTTTCACTTTGTGCAGCGTTTAAATTATTTTCTTGTGAAACTGCACGTTGAATGAAAAGGGTAATAATATTCGCAAGCAATTTCACGGTTGGGGAGGTTAACCTGTATACATAACTACCAGGAACTCGCGATGCTTTGCTCTCTCTTGCATTCATAGTCATGAATAGAGGTAAAAAACGAAAGCGAGCTGGTGAATGACATCCAAAGTAACCCTGAGACGTAGGAACAATAAAAAAAACGGACAGATCAATTAAGTCTCTTACACAAATGTTTTCACATGTCGGGACGCAAGTCATCCGGGAGTTCATTAGAATCCAAGAAAATTCGAAATATGTATTAAATTTGTTTCTCTCAAGTGGCAGTACGCTGCTCTTTCCTTACGAGTGTAGTGTCTTGTCAGGAATATCGGATCATCTCATGGTTGTTTTGTCACTCTATTTAAAAGGGATACTTCAACGAAATTTGAAATATTCCCGTCGTGTTCAAAAATAGGTTGAATATGATCCACAATCTCCGTAAATGACAATCGCACGTTTGTATTTTGAGCCTGGTGGCTGTATTTTTCGTTACAAAACGGCCCGCTCTGGCAAGCGCTCGGAGAAGGCCCAGCGGAGACCACGTGACATCCAACGCAATCGTGACGTAGGTCATCTCGGGACGAGAAAAGCCACGGCGAGGCTGACGTCAAGAGGATGGCCTAGTCGTTCCAGCCCCCGAAGCGGCTGCTTTTGTACGAATTTTGAGTGACGGGTTAATCTTCTATAATCTTGTAGAGGGACAATAGCGACTTCTGCGACACACAAAAGGCATTCTCGGGAAGAGGGGAGTTCCTCCTTCCCCTCTTCTCTCGTCGTGGCCGGAGGCGAGACAATAACCGTCACTACCGCTCAAGGTTCCTAGACGGGCATTACAAACGACGCGTTAGCGACATCCACCAGGTGCTCTTTGCTAATCGTTTGATTCGCTTTAAAATTCCTTTTCGAGATTTTTTTAACAAAATATTGGTATGTTCGATGTGATACTGCTCCTTTGAACACATAGAGACCAAAAAATGAGCGCCGCAATTTCGTTGTAGTATCCCTTTAAATGGTAACCTTACAGCGCGTCATGAAATTTTTCCCTATAAAGATTTTAATCGTACAGATGACGTAGCTCTTTAAGATATTTGTTCATTTGACGTCATTCAGCGATTCAGTCTTGATTGTAAACTAAGCGTCAATTAACCCTGGCAAAAGATCAAAGACAGCTACGCATTGCATAGCTCATCACGTCCCGGAAAAGGTGAAAAAGAACCGCACTAATAACCCGTGGAGTAATAAAGACATAATACGTCTGAAATGCAAAGTTTCAAGGCGTCGGGCGCAAGCGCGCAAATTGCAGGCAGCGGTAGTACGTGACAAGCTGCGGTGCTTCAACAAGGGTCTGAGATCAATGATAAAAAATACCAAGCACTATTATTTTAACGTAAGCATGACAGGCTTTCCGGCAATCGCCCAAAACAGGGGACCGAGTTGTTTTAAAAAAGTCAGACTTTCACGAATGTATTTGAAAGCTCTTTTTCTACAGTTTTTTTTTTTTTTTTTTTTTTTTTTTATGACGGCACAATACCTGAGCGTTATGAATTTGTCACTATACCGGCAATTTTTAATGTGATGTTATGCCAGGAGGAATTTTTTTTCATTGCTTCTCGATATTGACCACTCAAAGGCAGGAGGACAGCACAAAAGTTTAAATACGTTTTTAAAAAAAGGTATGCCAATTGGTCGTCGAAGTATGTATTGCTTATCTTTCATGAATTGCTTGGTTGTTCTTTGATTTCAAATGAATGAAAATTAGGGAAAGTGATTTCAATATTTAAGGAGAGTAATTCAAGGTACCCGCCAAATTATCGCCCAATTTCCTTAACATCAACCTGCTGTAAAATAATTGAACATAGCTCCAATCATATATTCATACATTCTTAGCTGAGCACAGCTTAGTTAGCAGCTGCCAACGTGCATTCCGAAAGAGACTTCCTACTGTTACTCAGCTGATCGAAATTAAGAATTTCTTTTCGAAGAAGTTGTATTGTCGAGATCCGGTTTACGTTTTCTTTTTTTTTTTCATTTTAAAAATGCTTTAGAGAAGGTGATTCACAGAAAGCCAATCTGTAACATAATACCTATACTAAAGAACAAAACTCTGTTCGGATTGACAAAGGCCTTTCCTGCCAATAGAAAACGGTTTGTTAGCATTGCGAATAACTACTCGGATTTCTATGCTGTTACTTCAGGTGTGCCTCAAGGCACAGTTCTAGGGTAGTTGCTCTTTCTTATGTTTATAAACGACCGGATTAAAAATATGGCGGTACACGCAACAGTTTTGTAGACAACTGTGTTTTGTACACCAAAGTAACCTCTGTATCTGACCAAATTAACCTATGTGCGAGCCTGCATAGGGTTAACTAATCGGGCACGAGGTGGCTAATGTTTCTGAGCTTAAGAAAAACGGCTTGTATGTCCATGTCACATATATTAAATCCCTTAGCATATCCGTACAGCCTTGATAGTGTCCTCTTAGAAAAAGTAGACAAATATAAGAACCCCAGTTCTAGTATAAGAAGCAATCTTCAATGGAACACACGCGTGACTAACACTGTTAAAAAGCCGGATACTCGACTAGCATTTCCACGGCGGTTCTTGAAACTAGCATCCACAGAAACTAGACTGCTCGCTTACAAAATATTGGTTCGCCCCCTCCTTGGATACTCGTCGGAAGTATGAAACCCGAGACTGTGGTTTAAAAAACGGAAGGCTCGTGAAAGAGGAAGAAAAAGGGAAAGACAACGTCTTGAGACGTTGTGTGTCCCTTTTTCTTTTTTCTTCACGAGTCTTCCGTTTTTCAAACCACAGTCTCAGCTAGGTTTCAGTGATCATGTATAAGGGGGATCGGTGGCCGAGTGGGCTAGCGCACATCAGCTCGGAGCACATGGAGTGAAAGCTCGCGCTGCAGAACCCAGGGATCCTGGGTTCGAGCCCCACCCCTGCCCGTTTCGATCTGGATGAGCATCGTACCGGCGTGCGGTCGTGTATCACTAGTGCGTGGTGCACGTTAAAAATCCCAGGCTATCGGTTGTACTGCACTGGCTAAATTGCTCCTCTACAGCGAGTGAATCGTCGCAGTTTTGAAATAACTGACCAACTACGCACTGTATAAATTTCCACACAACCCCAATTATTCATCATTTATAACGTACACCAGCTCGCCTGCACATTAACCGTTTTATCATCCTTTTCCTGGAGGGCATACTGCCTGCACATTAACATTTTTTTCATCCTTGCCCTGGAGGGTGTACGCCTGTAACCGTTTCTCCATCCTTATCCTGGAGGGTGTACGGCGACTGGCCCTACTTTTTATTTATAGTTATCGGAAATTAGATCCGCCGACAGGGCTGTATGCGCTGTGTAACCTTCCGTTGCTAGAGGTAAGACGGGAAAATAACACGGTTGAAGCTTTTATTCATTGTACTTTTTGGTTCGTTCCCCTTCGACCAATCGCGTTTTTGTACCCCTCATCAATCACGTATCACTCGTAACTAGCATTCGCGCCCCTAACAAGTATTTTCGTTCAATGAAGATTGTTTTAAGTACTCCGTTTCCCTCAAGTGTAAATTGTTTCCACCCCTATCAAAGTCCTGGACAGGACTGACAGTATGCCAAATAAATAAATCAATAAAGTAAAACACGTCGATTCATGATTTCCCGGGCTGGCACATCCGGCTTCGCTTTCCCCACCAGCGTAAGCTTCGCTAAATTTGCGAGGCGTTACATCGCTCGGGAAGGCGAACTAATGAAGGAGAGACCATGCCCTCACAAAAAGTATTTTAACCACTTTGTAAATACCCACTATAAAGAATAGTGTATCGAGACGATAAATATCATTTAGGAAATGTGTGCACTGTTTCAGAATAGTTTGTTTCATTTCAACCGCGTGTTTCTGTATATTTTATAGAACTTAGTGCAAGAATTTTTGGATGGAAATATTTAAAATAAGAAGGATAAAAATTCTAACTACATCTTAATGCCTTTTAATATATTATTGGTAGTAAGTTCTTCGCAGACAAAAAGAAGGCATTGTGAACGTTACTCCAAAATTTGTCTGGCAACATTACATGAAACGTGCATTTGCCACAAGTCGCGTGTAAATATGCAGACACCTCAAATCTTTAGGCCACGAAGCACTCCCAGCCCTAGTAATACAACGATTGCATGTATTCCATCGCGTATATACCCTGCACTTGGAAGGCAATCATATAAACGAAGAGAACCTCAACAGTTCAAAGCGTTAAAACTTTTTATTTTGTCGCCATTTTTTATGAAAAGTATTTCCTAGGCATTGGTAGTCTATCTTCATCTGTAAAGCATTTAAAAAAGGAATAATTATTTGACACATGCAGTCGCAAAAAAACACCGTCTACATGAAGGCTCCAAGTGGGCGTCGCTTTAGGCACTGCATCCTATTATTCTGTCAAGTTCGGTCTACAGAATTTCTATAGAAATGTGGTGACGGAAAATGTACGAAAAGTGTGTGATAAATTTTTCGTCAAATCTATACCGTCTCTGCTTTATATTTTTTGGTTGAAAGGAATTTTGTAGATCTATCAAAAACGGTCGATAGGGCGTCACTGAGTAGGAAGTTCGAAGAATTGTTTGAATTTGTGCGGGATTTTAAAAAACAGCATGCAATATTTTTTTTTTTTTTTTTTTTGTGAAGGCACCTTAACCACAAGTAATCTTACTTTCAGCTCAGACACACGAAGATTGGATTGAAAGTACTGCTGTAATATTAGATTTCACCCTTATGAAGCGAAAAATGCAGCTCACATTTTCTGGGTGCATGCGTGAAAAAAAGAAAAGGAGGACTTTTTGCTTTCTTTAGTTTCAAAGCGCTGATGCCATTGTTGAAAAAAAAAAATAGGGCGCTTACGAGTTTGGGCTCTTTTCCGTTGCCGATCCACTGTTCTTTGCCAGCTTCACTTTTGAGGCCGAAGCGATACTGGACGACCCCTTGAACAGGCTGCGTGTTCAGAAATCTGTTGAGAAAAGAAGTCATATCGGTTCGTGGCGTACACAAGCGGAGCCTTCAGCCGTGCGCTGTTAAAGCACTTATCCCACTTGACCGACAAGTAGCAAGGCTGTGTCTGTTAACACACCGGGAAGCCAACCCCAATGAAAATCTGCTGACTCCGTTGTGTACAATAAAACATTCAGCCTATGCAATACCACTTCTAGCCCAGGGGCTTTAATGTCCACAACGTGGTAGTGATCCACCAACCCACGTCGGTACGATGTCATTGAGAACAAACCGAGCCGGGGCGGGGATAGAACCCAGGAGGAGCGGGTTCTGCAGTGCGAGTTCTCGCTCCACGTGCTCCGAGCTCCGGTGCGCTAATAACAGTACCTACCTAAATAGGAAGGGGCCTGTCCACCCCGCGGCCGCTCTATGGGTAGACTACTGGGGCTGTATTTAGAGGTACGGCTACGACAGTTACTCTAGAGTGAGGGAAGGGGGGGGGGAGAGAATTCTCTCCCCCTCCCCAAACTAGTGTGACTGTATATTCTCCGCTTGCAGAGCATCCCCATCGTAATGAACTGCAATGGATGAGTGGTGCTGCACTAAAGAAACCTCTGCCTTTGTCTCTTAAGGGTTTGTAGCTTTAGCAAAACATTTAAAATGGCGGCAGTTTTTTTTTTTTTTTTTTTTTCGCACGTATTTTTGTAATTAAAGCGAGCGCATAGATACATTTTATCCATTACTGCAGGATGTGTTCTGCTTTCGAGTCTTCCTTCTAGTTGTCGTGTTTATTGTTAAAATGTTTGATTCTGTGCTCTTACGTCACGTCCTGCGCATGGTCTATGAACTGTCTCATGAACATCACAAGAACCAGTTTCTCCAGAGCAGTTATGCGGTCTTCTAAATGTTTGACTTGACAGCCAAAAAGTGTGTTGCGCACAACAACCGCAACAACCTTCTGAACCAACACAACACTACAAATGGCTTGGAAAAAACGCGAAGCATGCGTTTCATCAAGGGGCTTTCAGTCAAAGTTGTGCCCGTTACCTAAATTAGGTAGGGATATGTGTTACTTCTTACATCTTAAAAATTAACACGTTGCTGAGATTTGTTACCCTCCTGCAATGCAACGAAACAATCTTTCCGTTACTTTTAAAAAATAAGGAACGTTACTTTTGCGTTACTTTACATTTCAATATTATTCGACATTAATAGGCCATGGATATAACCACTCACAATAGAAAAACTTTTACAGAGTGATTTTATAGTCCTTATTATACGTGGTGTGTCTTTTTTTTAAGCCGTGAATGCTACGTTTATGCGGTTTGTGTAGGTGGGTTCTACGGCCTGGGGGACATAGTATAGGGGAATTATCGTAACGATCAGACGGCTTATTAAGTAAATGTGTTAATTACCCTTCTTAATTAGTGAAAAAGACATGTGGTTTCAATTAGAAACTTGCTGAGCGTGATTGCAAACCACAATATCAAGTCTTTTTGGAATGATATAACACAGGGGCAGCAGTTTGCTGCGTTCTGAAAAAAAAAAAAACGTTCAGTTTCGACGCCTTTTTATGTTTGGGTTCCTTATCGTAGCACATCTTTGCATCCGCGGTCCTGCTCCCTGGTGATCGCGGCGCAACGCCGCCGCCTAGTCTCCCTCGAAGGCAACGTGAGTAAAACAGCTCAGTTCGGAAACTGCCGAAGTGCCTGCTTTGATAAAGTGGCTTCGACCCGTACTCGAGAATCAAACAAATGGCGATCACAACGCCATTTCTCTCGCAGCGGCGACGCCGGGAAACTGCCCGTCTGCACGTATCGGTTGAGGTCGACTCGCGCAAGGGTCGGTAGCGCCACCTCGCATTGCCATTTCGCAGTAGCAATATAAATGAACTTTTTAGTTTTGACTAGTCGCTAAAGGGTGGCGCTGTTATCGTATTTAGTTCGGTCTCCGTGGACGCGGGGGGGTTCGGGTTTCACGGTTGAGTTTTCTATTAAGTGTTTTAGTAAAGTTTCTCCAAGGCTAAAGGGAGGTGTGGCGCACCTGTGTTGCGCGTGTCGGCTACTCGGAAAAGGACCGCGGGCGCAAAGATACGCTGCGATAAGAAACCGAAACCTAAAAACTCGTCCAAATTCAGCGTTTTCACGGAACGCCGTAAAATGCTACCCCTGCCTTATATCTTTCTAAAAAGGGTTGATTCAGTGGTTTTCGATGACGCTCAGCAAGTCTCTCATTGGAACCCTATGTTTATTTTCACGAATTAAAAAGTTCATTAAAAATTTCACTTAATTAGCCGACTGATCGTCCCGACCCCGACTCGCCCGCTCGCCCTATGTAGGCTCTGACGATGTTATCGGTCAGCGGGATCGTTTCTATTTAATTTTTCTTGCGTGTTTTTCGTAGTAAGTGTAAATTTTTATATGCGGTTTTTTTAGGTATGACCTGTAGCTGCAGGCGAAACTTGAACCAACATTTCAAGCATATTTGACAAGGCAGGCAACGCACGAATCGCAGGCGATATATGAAAAAAAAAATATTGCCACAATTGTAAGTGCGCCACATAGATTTACATCATACAAAGTCAATGCTGCTTATGGTCTGGATGAATTGTCAGAGTATGTATACTATTTATTTTTTTTTTTATGTGGGTTTTTCTTTTCAAACAAAAACGTCGAAGCAGAAAAGCTGCATGCCTTTCGAGCAACATGTTAAATACATCTGGGCCATGGAGCGAGACTCAAAAGTGAGACAGTCCCAGTGCAGGAGCGAAGTAAAGAATGAAGGAACATTTATTTATATACATTGCTCGCATTTGACCTTTGCTAGATTCGGACAGAACTTCAATGGACTCCACTGGTGGTATTTGTGGTCTTGTTTATATTATCCCTCAAGTAATGTACAAGGAACATAAGTGAAGGTGTCTAGCCCGTTATTAGTCCCTTAAGCTCTCCAATTGAGATTTGAGCTAAATCAAATTGTCCTGAAGCAAAAACACCAGAAGCTTTTTTCACGCAAACTGTCGCCCCTTCACAGGTTCCACACTTTCTACTTCTAGTGCAGCATCTATCAATGGACAGCTGTTCGAATGCTTGCTGTTCCTCCTGTTTTCCTCTGTTGCCAGAGAGTTTAGCTGTAGAGAGTTTGGAGGCTGATGAAGCTTTTGGGGACCTGCAGCAGTGTCTATTCTAATTGGAAATAACAATTCAATATCAACGGGGTGTTTTCCGAATACCCAAGGCTGGAATAAACAAAGAATGTCAGGAAAAAGTTTAAACATTCCAAATTACGGTACAGTTGCTGCGCATATTTTGGGCACTTCAATACATCTCATACAGGCAACTGAGGGCAATTCGGCCGTTTTTTCTGCTATTATACAAACTGATTTTCAGTAATTTTGCCTTTGATAACGCTTCTGATATGGCACGCGCAGAGTCGGGGTCGCGAGTTAATTTGCCAACCGGCCAAACGCCTTTGATTAAATGCCATTTCAAATGCCTGCAAGCGGGATGCAATTTTCTCCCAAAACCACGAACTTGCAAGGAGCAGATTTCCAGCGTCTGAAACACTTACGCCACCGCTTCACCGACCCCTCGCACGATTGCCTTGTGCCATGTGGACCGACAAAGATGTTCATCGGCGGAATTTCCTCCGCCGATAGCCTTCGGGATTTGTAACCCAATAATAAAGGTAAAAGTGACAAGCACAGAAGCCCGTCGGCATCGGCCTAACCCAGCGTCTTATAAAAACCAGGTAAACCAAGACCCGCTCCTCAAAGTGCTTGCGCCGCAGAACGGCCAAACCAGCAAATCGGGGAAGGGAAGCGAGCCGGATGCGAGATCGCGAAGGCGAGTCCTTCCCCTGACGTCACGGTACACCTCACCCAATCAGAGCGCGGCGTCCGCAGCGACGCTTGTGTTCGCTTACGGGGCTAATACTATGTTCCCCTAGCCGTATGACTCACCTGCACAAACCCCATAACTGCAGCTTTCACGGATCTTTTTAAACTAATCAGTCGAACTTAAAAAAAAAAAAACGGTATGTATTTTTTTCTTATTAAGTTTGTAAAATATATTTTTAGTTCCGATTTTTCTTTCTTAGTGAAGAATTTTAAAAGAATTCTGCAGAGGAAAAAATATTATTTTCTGAAGAGAAAATAATATTTTCCTTTTCCGGCACAGTTTACAGAATTAAATTATTTGTATTTAAGATTAAACAACAATTGCTAATTAAAAGTACTCAGTAACGAGAAACGTAATTTTACAGGCGATGCCATAAAAAAGCGACGAAGGTACTTTACTCGTTAATCACTTAAAATCCTTACGAGTACGTTAGCGTTCCTGAAAAAATAAGGCGTTATCAGTTGCGTCGATATGGTAACGCCTCCATCACTGGCTTGATTTCACAGACGTGCATAAAAGAGGATCAGCTGTGCGCCATGCTTAAAAAGAACGGCTGTCCGTTGTTGTGGCCGAGTGGTTCAAACGGTATTTAAGTTTAATAAGCCCCTCTACCCTAACGCAACAACCATAAGAAAAAAGTCTAGAGTATTTGTTTCGTGCATCTTCGATGATTTTAGTAACGTGTTCCACTATATAACTCAGGTTAGGGGCACGAGGTCGCGGTGTTGAAAGCATGCTCGTACCAGAAAGGTGCCTTTCGAGACAAGGAGCGCGGACCAGGTCTCATTTGTCGCCTCCGCTGCCCAGTCAGATGTTTCGACGAGCAAGCGTGGTTGGGGTATTACCCAAGGATGTGCCCATGCGCTTCAAGAGGAACTGCACTTAGACAGCCCTTTGTGTATTTGTCAATGCCTAAAAGAGTTGCGCTCTGACTACAAATGTAATTGTAATTGCAATTACAGTGACCAGTTACTGACACTAAACGAAACTAAATTACATATTGACGCTTCTCGCTGCAATAAAAGTAACTAGAATAAAAGTATAAAAATAACTATAATCCCAATAAAATAACTACAATTACAATAAAGCGCATTTTATCGAAATGCGGTGAATCACATTTGCATCCATTACTGTAACTGAATTACCACCAAAAAAAACAATTGTTTTTTTTACAGATATTGCAAATATTATGGGAAAAAGTCACAAAAATTGCAACACTAGCAGACGCTCAAATCATTCAAGATTTGTGCTTTCAATAAGAAATAAAAGAGTAATTTATAAACGAAGTTTCACAATTAAGACAGGACTGAACAATATTCAAAATAATTGAAAACATGAAATACAATATTTGTTTACATGACAGTGGTAGCATATATCTGTAAAAAAACTTCGGTTCACCTACCTTGCATGGACGAAGAACGGCACATCTGTGAAGTTGTCTGGGACGTATTTCACGGTGCTGAGCTCCACTGAAAACCTCGGTAAAACTGCAAAAAAAAATATGTCGATACTTCTCACTTGCTCTTTTTGAAATTCGTAAAATGTTTCTGCACTACGTAGGATGCCGTCTATTTATGTGCAGGCATTCGCAAAAAAAGCGGGAGCTCGATAAGCTGCAACATGTAATAAAAAAGTCCAAAGAGCAAGAGGACAATTTGAGAGAGAATATGATAACTTTCCTTCGCGTTCTTGAAGCTTAGCTTTGTATTTGTTTTGTTTTTGTTACAAGGTAGGATATTGTGACTCGGCCAACTATGTTGTCCCCTTTTTGTCTTTTTTTTTTTTGTCCTACATCTAGGGTTTTAAAATGCTTAATACTTATTTGATTTATTTTTATATCGTTTTCTCGATTGGGCGCTTACTCTGATCTTTTTTTTGGTTTTGTTTCCTCGCTGTTTTATGCGCATTTTGTGCGCTTCTGGTTGAATATGACTGAGCAAATGCGAGAAAAAGCAAAGTTTGTCACTGGGAAGGTTGGCACGTCCAAGATAAGAGGCTCGAGATTCGCAGTCGGTTTTACTCCTTGCAAAAGGACATGTGCTTCAGCTCAACTTGCAAAGATGTTTAAACGAGTTTGGGTAAGTTATATTTTTAGCGTAAGAGTCTTCGGATCTGCAAGCACGCTTTTCTTTTCATAATAATATTGATCGGTGATTTCTTACTCCTTTATTCTTAAAGATGAAACTAAAAGGAAGTCGCTAAACTCACCGTACTCCTTCACCTCAAACGTTACAGTCTCATTCTGTTCAAACTGCAAATAAAACACAAAAAGGATAAGAATCACACTGCCTTTTTGATTACGTTTTGGTTGTCATGGTCTAAAATGTTTTAACGGGAACCGGAAGACTGCAGATTCGACGAGTATCAGTAGTTCACAATCTTCTGCACTCTCAAAGTAGCCTAGCGTCTACTTTCCGGCGAAGAGCGGGGAGGGCCAATCCGTGCATTCGCGAATCGAGCACTTGCAGTGGATAAAAGTGTCAAGAAGAGTGCTTATCTCGAAAGTACGATGTATAGAAGCTCAATGAGCGTCACGTTTTATTTTCTCATTTCTCTCGAGTCAATCGCGTTTTCAAGTACACGCTTCGTTGTTCGTAGACGTGCAGGCCTATTACAAGGTCTCGGCGAGCTCAGATTTGTCCAAACCATCAAATACCTCACTAGGAATACTCGATCAATTGAAAAATAGGTAGAAAAAAGAAAGTTATCGGCTTTTTCTATAGGAAGAGGGAAAGTGTGCGAACGCATTTGAAGAGCCAATTGGGTGAGCCTTTCTATGACTGAGTGCACATGGATGTGACCGTACAGCACCGAAGCAACATTTGACGCGAATTGTTGTGCGCAAAAAGAAAAGAAACTGGCTACACGTCCCCTCCCGCCTGGATGTTCAACGCTCGCACGCTTAGCTGCTTTACATGCACCCGACCGTAGCACATTCCATCGAGCTGGGATGAACCGTGTGCAGTTAGTCCCCCACCCTCTACTACCCGATTACAGTCTTCAGATGCCGAGGAAATATTCCAGAGCGCATATTTATCTTAGCGCAGTCTAAGCTCAAAGATCCGCGTGTCTCCGACACAAACTACAAAACGCTCGTAATGATCAACGGCTGTTTTCACAGAGTGGCAGCGCCAATAATCAAATAAGGCACGGATGCATTTTTCGACTGAAGCGGCTCATTGTTCGAGCGAGCGGCTTGTTCGCCTCTCCTAATCACACTCCTACCCGGCTGTATTTTTGCAAACCCTATCTAGCTACATGGTCAATTCTGTCTCTTGGGAATGTGATTGGATTGGCTGCACGCTGACGCAGCACTCGTTCTCTATAAGAACTGAGCCACTCCGAACACTGACGCCGCCTTTGTGTCGAATACATGCCCAGAGTGCGTGGTGAAACTATAGTCAACTCGGATTACTAATGGCAGTCACCGAAGAGTTTAAGCGTAGCAGTTGCCAGTGTCGACTACTTGTAAGAAAGGTCTACCGTGTTTCAACTCCTGCTATCGAGCGCCAAACGCGGATGCGTACCTTGTAGCCGTACTTGACCACGACCTTCCATTCGCCCAGCAGGGTGTGTTCGGGCAGCGTGACCACATGGGTGAGCATAGGTCCTGTCGTAGGCTCGAAGTCTCGTGCCTCCACCGTGACGTTTTGAGGGTTCTGCGTCACACGCACAAACGAGTCAATACAGCGGCTGCTCCAAGTGGACAGACTTTCAGAATCACGACCGACTCAAGTGGCGAGGGAAGTAGAAGGCAGCACATTGCGCTCGCGGACCCTGGAAGCTTAAAGGGATTGTCCGGTCGAAAACGGAAGTACTTAAGTTCTTGCGCTCGTTACGTCGAGAGAGCCTTCATATAGACAAACGTCATTTTTATTTTGATATATGATCTCCCGTTATTAATTAAACCTTTCATGAGCCTATGTACGAAACTGCACCCCGAATTTCGCCAGTGTCAATGGCTGACATCCGTAGGTGCTGCGTGACGTCACAAAACGCAAAGGTTTGTCGGATGGTCGGGATAACAAGTGTTGGTCGATGGATGTCTTGTATTTTGTTTCGAATTATACACTCTCCTAGGCTGTACCCGACTGAAATACGGTTCTTTTAATGCAGTTCCCAAGCACGTGCAAAAAGAGACACGCCTTTTAGCAGGATATTACTCGAAAACAGCCATAAGCTTCGAGGAAACGTATGCCGTTTCGCGCAAACACAACTGCGACGGACGCCGATCGAACTAGGGGCGCTTGCAAAGCAAAGTATGCAGATTTCGACTCTGAAGCGGCACCTAGGTACACGAAGCGGCATCTGGGTACACATTTCGGCAGATCCACTGGATCTGTGATCAGGCTGCGGGTCGTTCCCTTAGAGGCGATGTCCGCGCACGTCGCGGGCAAACGGCGAACCGTTCAAATGGATGTCGTCACTTGACTTGGACGAGCTTGGTGAATCGTAGTCACGCTCCATTTTCACACGCGGGTCAAACAGATATCGGGCTGCACGCGTGCTAAATACAACTTCTGGTATCATTTCGAGATGGCCTAGCTGTTGGTTTCGGTTTCGCTGCATAATCAAGGTCTGTTTGATTCGGCCAAGAAGTTCTGAACTATAGTCGATTACAAGTCAAGAAGGTAGCGGCAAATGCCCCTCAAAAGGAATCTTTGCATTTCGACGATAGGTTCGTGGCATCAGGATGATTTTGCGTCGGGAGTCACTGGCGCCAGCGCGCGGTCGGTATACCGGTCACCTCGAAGACGAAGGCCTGACGATAGCGTCTTGGCCAAGACAGTTATCGACCGTAACTTTGGCGTCAAGTTGAAGTGAGCATCGCCAAAAATGCCAATTCTCAGCGCTTTTCCCAGGCCCGTTAGTGGTCGTCCACAGATACCAGCGGACAAAGCATGCAGTATTATGCTCAGCTACGGGGACATGCGAGTGCCAACGCACTAAATCCCAGGCCTCTGCAATGTATTGGGGTCGTCAATATGCACCCAAGAGCAACCGGAGGCGGGGACTATCAAGAGGGCAATACCTTTCCCGTGTCTGTATAAGTAAGAATATCAACACTGTGGATCCCCACATAGCATCAAAAAGAAACAATTTACGTGAGCCAATATTTCAACACTTACCACAGGGAGCCAAACCTACGCGAGCAGGTGCCTAAAACGTTTTCAGAATATCATAATCAAGAAAATTCCTACCCTCGGGTATGATCTCAATTCCGGGTCCACCCCGGGTACGTTATAATCATAAATGAGAGGAAATGCAACCTCCGTATCGGCGTTATTGTTAAACATCGCAGACATTTGAGCAAGAGCTGCGAAAAATGGCACCGCGAGCAGAGACGGACGAGGAGTGTCGTCTGCTATCGCCGTCTGCTCTTGTCGTCTGCTTCTGCACGGACGCTGAACTGAGTCCGGAGCCGGTGCAAGATTTTTGAGGAACTGGGTCTGAACTCGTTCAGAACTGGGATGAATCGAACACGCCAGTGCAGCGGTCGTGCAACGTCCCGTTGAATCGAATGCACCAGTTCCTGCACTGCCGAACTAGTTCAGCCAGTTCAGGCGAATCGAACAGACCTAAATTGACTGATCCCATTTGGGCGAGGAGTGGGTGGACGTAGTTTAATACCGTTGGTACGGCATCACACCTCAGCTTACAAGCCTTCTGTCCGCTTAGAGCTCAGCTCGTAGCTTTCTTTTGTGAGATGATTGCTGCATAAGCGGGATTGCGTTCTTGACGGGAATCCAGTCCCTACGCACGACGACGATCCACTTTGCTCGTCACTGCACGTCTCGCGGAAGAGTGTGGAACGTCATGTCTTGGCTCGCATGTGCTGCCCGGTGGTTGTGGCACCCAACCGCGCTACAAAAATCCCACCCAACCACGAAACCCAAGTCGAGCACAACGAAAACGAAGCACGCTGAGGCGTTCACTCGCAGGCAAACGACGAGACAGAAATGCTCGCTATGTGTTTTGTGATGTCAGAGCTTCAATGTTGCCAACGAAAGCAGCGTTTACGCTAGAATGCGATTGGAGCAGTATAAATTCAATTACTCACGCAGAGGTGCATATAAAATTCAGATATAGCTCGTACGATGCCTCTCGAGGCAATAACAATGATATTCAATTGTTTTCTCGAATACAAAATTTGACCGGACAATCCCTTTAAGACGTGCAGGGCCACTTCCGTCTTCCGATTGCTTCGCAGCCCATCAGATGGCGCCATCCATGTGTACCAATGCCGAAGGACAAACCAAGAAGCCGGGACATAACACCCCGCGTTTGGGTAGGGAGAGGAGGGGGAGGATCCGGGAAAGCCGGATCCTCCCCCTCCTTCCCTACCCTAGCCGACCTCCTCGCCTCCCGCTCTGCCTTCCCTTCTTCCCACTCCCAGCTTACTCGTCGTGAGTAAAGACTTATTCAATAGGCCAAAACTTAACACACTTCAAAAAACCACTCGACTTCACTTTTTCTGTTACACCTCAGACGCCCCACTCCCTCTCTGCTCCCACTGGTTTACCCCTTCCCACCAGACCACTTTCTGTGGGACTACCCCTATAACCCAGCACAGCGGCGCCATTACACTGAAGGTTGCTGGCTCTTGCGGTCAGCCTCGAACATCAACGGGGAACTGGTACTCTACATCAGCAGGGCCATCAGCGTCTGCCTGTACCAAGGCGGCTGACGCACCGCACCATCATGCTTCAATAAAGCTGTTACCTATCCTTCAGCACCTTTCTCACTCACAGAGATGCATTTCTCAGGGGGATGTCCTCTCCCCAATAATATTCAATTTCACCATACGCGGGATCTACCGTGCTCTTCAATCCCTCCCTGACATCCGGTACAGTATTTATGCTGATAATAGGAAGTTTTCGAGGATCGTTTTTGTCACGCAACGCTCTCCGCAACCCGCTAAGTTACCCGGAACTCTACAGTCAAGGCCATCGGCGCGCAGGCGCAGTAGCGACTTCGTTGCGGAGGGCTTAGCGGAGGGGGAAACGCGGTAGACCGCGTTTCCCCCTCCGCTAAGCCCTCCGCAAGGAAGTCGCTACTGCGCCTGCGCGCCGATGGCCTTGACTGTAGAGTTCCGGGTATCGTAGCGGGTTGCGGAGGGCGTTGCGGGACGGCAAAAACGATCTGTGAAAGCTCCCTAATGTTACTATCTGCCTGGAAAGAACACGAGCATCAGCTTGCCCGCGAAACGCTCCTCTGGACCAGTGCTGACACCTGTGACTACGCCCTGATCTTCCTTCCTCCTCTCATTGCCCTAGCCGACCTATTCGCCTCCCGCTGTGCCTTTCCTCCTCCCACCCCGGCCTTTGCCACCTTTGCCCAAAATTTTTCTGGGTCACCGAAAGAGAGAAAGCGTGCTTTCCTGCCCTTTCCACTAGTCCTATTTCTTCGCGTTTTTTTACAGCACTTATTTGTGTTTCTCTTTTTCTTGCCCTTTCCATCCCTTTCCACTCCGCGCGCTCTCTCACACCACCTGCTTCCGGTCCTCCCGTGCCCCCGTGCTGGGTCCGTAGCTCAGTCAGCAGAGCCCACGGCTTCCACGCCGTTTACCGGGGATCGATCCCTGGCACCAGTTGCCAATTTTCCAAGAAGCTTAGTGGTTACAAGCTTACCGATTTACGTATTTCGTGCTCGCGCAGCTGCTAGGGTTGGTTGGCACTAAAAAGCTACCGCTTTAAGAAGCGCCATCTGCATTATACGAAGACTCTATATATTATATCAAGAGTCTCCCGCCGAAGCTGCTGCCATTCTGGCAGCAGCGGCGGCGGGCGACCGTACACAAACTAATTCTGTTTCCGTATGCCCTTACAGTTATCAAAGAGGTGCCCGATACCGTCTGCACGCAGTCCGCAGCGAAGGAACCGCTGTGTCGCTCTCACTCACGGCTGTGATTACTGTGACCCATATCGGCGAGTTGAAGCCTGCGGCCCCACCCAAGACACCGGAGTCAAGCAACATCTACGCGGAACGATCCTGTCATAAAGGAGCCACGAGCACGACCGGGCCATTCTGGCAGCAGCAGCGGCGGGCGACAGTTCACTGACTAATTCTGTTCCTGCATGCCCTTACAGGTAGGTTGTCACTGCCTACTTTCCTTACGACATTATTGGCTCGGTCGCCGCTGCTGCATGTAGTGTCGTGCCAGTTTTAGCCAATAGTAACTTTTAAATGGCTGAGCTAATACGTCTTAAATGCCAAGAACAGAGCTCCGATGATGATCAATCGATTTCAGGTAGTGATGGTGGATGTTCGTATCACCCTGGAAGTTGTTCGGGAATCTCTGAAGCGACACTGAGGACAAAGGGCGAGTCGTATCGCACAGTTTGGAAGTGCCCCACCTGCCGAGCTTCGAAACTTTAAGGCGGCGCGTACAATAAGCAAACACCCGATGACGGCATGTGGACAATGTTGGTGTGTATGAGCTCCAAACTAGCCCTTTGTGAGACAGCGGGACACATACGTCCCGCCTGTGAGAACTGGTTCAATCGAGTCTCTTCGGGATCGTGGGACACTGGCGTCCCATTTTTTTCACTAGCACCATCTATGAATGTCAAATGCAACTTTTCCTCAGTTCTCTTTTTTTTCACGAGAAGGCCGAAGGTTGAAAACATGTGCTTGCTTTGGTCATTGGTTTTCGAAA